TGTCATGGTCAACTTTATGTAGTATTGTTAAGAGCTAAAACGAGCAAATGTTTAAAAGTTCTGCTAAACCATCGAATCCAGACATTGTGCACATTAGATGTACTAAAAACGTTGTGTACAAAGAAATTCTTTCATTCATACATATTTAAAACAATAAATGATTTGTAAGTATTTTCTTCACACTTATTTCTCACTATTTGAAAACATAAATGTTTACAAATTTATTTTTATGACGCAAATTGTATAATTTTTTTCCAATTATGAACAAAGTTATATGCGCTAATAACTTTCTAAAATTTGTGTTAATTGCTTTGAGCCTCAACAATTTCATAACTTAACATACTGTTGTAATGGATGTTCAAATACATCTTGTGATGGACGTTACAATTGCTGTTTTCAGAAATTCTAATTAAAAAATTAAGTTTAGTATGATAGTGATTAGTTGGTAAATGATAAATGATAAATGTATTAAATTGATTTTTATAGCAATGAGCTTGCCTATGAAAAGGATATCAATTAGATTCAAGAATAATTTTTTTCCGATTGCAACCAAAAAAACAAATCAAAAAAAAAAAGTTACTACTACGCAGAGCATCACTTTGCGTAGTGCGGAGCAATTGCTCCGTACTTATCTTTTTTTTTTCCCTCCTTTATTTTTCTTTCCTATATTCCAATACAAATAATAATATAAACAAGCACATAGAAAACACATAGGCTTAACAAGATTATCCTCACTGAAAACACAATAAAATTAAACATATTCACTACGTTTTGAACTTGTCTTCATTTACTTCTAATTTTAAATTTATAAACCATATAAACAATTCTAATTTCTATTGACATAACCAATTTTGTATTTTTAACTTCAAAATATTTTGAACCTACAAAAAAAACATTTAACAATGATTTATTACATAATATTACGTCACATTAATTTATTCATTACACTTATTTTTAACTTCAATAGTATTTTATATGTCAATTCTTTTTTTATCTTAGTTTATATAAGTTTAATGTAAACATTCATATATAAATTCAAATATTACTTCATTAACTTATAAATGGGTGTGTTTGATCCACATTATTTTGGAAGAATGTATTTTAGAATAGTAGATTTTGGAAGAATGTGTGATTGAAAAGAAAGGAAAGGTTATTGATGTGATGGAAATTATTATTTTATTGAAAAATATGTGGTTGAAAATGAGTAGAAGAATGAAAAAGAAAATTTTAATGTATACCAAACAGGGGCAAAGTCTTAGTTATAACAACAAATACTACTGCATTAGTTTATAGAGTATTGATCATAACAAATTTATTTTAGTTGAATAAATAATATTATCTGTTAGTACAACATATTTTCTACAACATACTAGCTTTTTTTCCTACAAGTAGATATTTTCAAGCTTACATGTGTTGTTACTACTTTTCATTTACCATAATTAAACTGCATAAATTTTTTTTGAACACTCTGTAAGGATACCCAAAAAAATTATATTTCCTCTTCTATTTATAAAAACATTACGGATTCTTTTTATTTATAATTTAAATTTTCTTTAACAATACAAAATGAAACATACTCATTAGATTTCGAGCTTACCTTTATCTATTTTCTATTTTTTCAAAACTATAAAACATATAAACAATTTTTACTTCGATTATTTTAATTACTTTTGTACTTATTTTTAATATAGTAGGATAAGTTTAAGATATTTTAAACAAAAATATTATAATTAAAATATTGTAATTACAATTTAAAATTTCATTTATGTAGGATTTTTTGTCTTATTCAATGCAGACAATAACAAAATATCTAACTATTGTGCCACGTTAGTATTTCTATTTTTGCCACATCTACACTCAAACTAACTTAGCTGAGCATGTCTCAAATACTCTTAACTATATACTTAAAGTCTAATTGAAAAATAAGTAACTTACTTTATAAATCTTTTATAAATAGCTTCCCTAACTGGTTCATCTTTCGCATCTACAATCATAGAAACATATTACATTTATCACTTACACCTGTGAAAACTTCTTAAGTCCTACTTTCAATTTCTACTGGTAGTTTTTTATATCTCAAATATACTTCTTTGTTCTTGTATGTTTTATATATATATATATATTGATTTATATTTTGCTCCATTCTTTTACAATTTACAGATTCCAATCAATGGCTGCAACTTACAAATTCATCCCACAAATTGCTATCAGAGACCAACTGGTGTGCAAAGGTCATTATTGCAGGAAAACAATCACCTAAAACTGCACATAACTCTATAGTTCGATATCAAAATCTCACATTCATGGATTTGCAGGTAACTGCATATAGGGATTTCCTGATTTTTTTCATTTTCATTTACTATATATATTTTTTTCTATTCACATGTTCATCTTATTCTAACTTTCAAAAGGGTAACCAAGTCACAGCTACAATATACGATGTTAATATTACAGCCCTTGCTGACCAGTTAACATTCGGGAAGACATACGTAATCTCAAACGCAACCATGAAAGATAACAAAAGTTTATTTAAAACTGCACAAGAAGAAAAGGTTTGGACTTCTTGTTTTCTAAATATGAGCTCACTACATTTCATGCACTCGAACATCATATGGACAACAATACAAACATAAGTAAAAATATTACCATATCAACTGTACACATAATACTTTAACGTAACGCTTCATAATAATTAATACATGCAAAATACATAACAGATAATTTTCTTTTCCTCTATGCAGATGTTATTGGTGCTGCTATAGAAGTTCAACAAAAAAGAATTATCCAGACTCATTTTGNNGAGGTCGGTCTTCAAGATGTCGTGTTAATAGACAAAAATTTTCAAACTGTAATATTAACTTTATGGGACACTTTCGTTGAAAGAGAATGCATAACTATCCTTCAAAACTTACCAACGAAATCTGTGGTGTGGGCTACAAATCTTAAAGCTTCCTCTTTCAATGGTAACTGTAACTTCAACATAACGTTTAATTTTAAATAATATACACAAAAAAAAAAATTAATATAATATTTATTATTATCTTCTGTTTTACAGGCATCACACTCTCTACTAAAGTGCATAGCAACATTTTCATTAACGCTG